AGAGAGAGAGAGAGAGAGAGAGAACGTTGAAAAATAATTTCACGTACTGTAGAGAACCTTTACCGATATCCTTTTTCTCTTCCATCGAAACTTGCACTCCCTTCTCTATTTTCCTCACTTTCGTCCCGTCCGTGTGATGCTGCCTAGTGTCCCCTAGACTTCCGATCCCCGTCACCAAATTCACCAAACTTGACGAGGAAAACGCGGACAATCGTTGCGTTAACAATTCACGCATCGATTTAGATTTCATTCGATTGTAAATTCTGTCTTCGATCTCGGATATCGAGGCTACCCTTTTCGCTGGCGTCTGTATTTATAACAAAAAAAAAAATAAATTTAATAATAAATAAAACATACGTATATTTCTTCGAGTCAAAGAATAAGACAAATATTCTTCTTTTTAAACGGTGAGCATACGAATTTCCATGCACACGTGCATGAAAAAAAGAATAACTCGAGTATAACGATTTCAATTTCAATGTTATTCGAGCATTTTAATAAGTAAATTACTTAAAGCAACTTTACTCGAAACTAATTACTTTTTCAACTTAATGTCCAACTCTGCTTGAGAACCACTGCGCTCCCCCACTACTTCGGCTGTCCTTCGCGTCGTACGTGTAGAGAGGTTTGCTCGCCGTTAGGGATACCGCTCCGTCGATTTAAACTTTCCATTTTCGATCTTTCTTCTCGTTCCGAGGCGCGTTATATTCTTTAAACTTCTTTCATTTTCAAAAATTTTGTTATCGAGTGTATCTTGATCAACACATTCATCAACTCGATCAGACATCGAAAAATTAAAAATCTTATTTGGAAAAATGCGGAACGATGACAGATTTTTTTCCTTCTTTTTCCCCGTAAAAAAGCGACATCTGTCGACCAAAGTTGCTCGATCGATAATTAACCGCCTATATCGCCGCACGAGACGATTTATCGTATACCCGTTGTTATTTTCCCCTCGCGTAAACACGTCCTTCTCGATATTTCTCCCGAGAGCAACGAATTCGTACGAGGCAACGACGACACGTACAAAACTTACTTTCAACGTTTCGATCAAAAGTGGAACCTGTTTCACACTCTCGTCCTTGAGGCTCGTTAAACTGCTGCATCTCGTTTTTACAGGAGCTGTTGTGAAGTCGCTGTAACGACGATCCGGTATCACGCCGCGCAATTTCCACTCCTCTTTCGCCCGCCTCTTCTCCGCCCGGACGTCTTCCGGTTTCCTCGCGTGCCATTCAACGGGATGCATCATCGTCATCCCGACGATGGAGTTCAAGCTCATGGCGCCCGTCATCAACGCGGTCCCTCCACACAAATCGCACAATACGCATAACACGAACATCGCGTTTATCTCGAATAATAATTTTCATACGTTTTTCCGCTTACCTCGAAACCCGTACATCCTCATCATTTTCTCGATGCATATGGGATACGCGATTCCACCGAGGCCTACGATCACTTGGGCCGCGCTCATCACCTGCAACAACGAGGAATAAGAATTTTGAAATCTAAAAGGAAAAATGAAAAATTAGGGGGATACGAGTTTCGCCCGTTTGTACGCGCAGGCCCCTCCCCTCCTCCTCCTCCTCGTACCGGCGCCCTCCTCTTCACGAAGTACGCGTTGAAATTCGTGTTGCAAATGGTGAAAATCAGGCCGAGCCCTAACCCTTGCAGGAAATTTATCAAGGCCATCTCGTACACGTTCCGCACGAACGCTAGGCACACGTTTGGAAACGAGAACAGCATCGCACCGACCACCCCCACCGGCCTCATGGAATACCTCTTGAGCAGCGTGTTGGTCATCAAACCTGAGCAAATTGATAAAAATTCTCCTTGAAAATTTGCAACGACGTTTATTATACGTGAAAAGCATTTCTGATCGTGGTAAACATTTTATAGGAGGGAGAGGAAATTGGAAATTGTCTTAGAGAGGAAAGGCAAGTGAATTTTGAATGTACGTTGAGAACTTTGGCATGATTCACTTTGATAATTGAATTAATCTACAATTAGAACGTAGAACTTTGTTTCATTTAAAATTAAAATCTTCTTATCTAACATTCATTCGGATAAGATTTACATAACTGCCGGTGGATGGACGCTTATCAGTATATAATATTTCCAACGATGAATATGTACGTCTATGATTGTGTCTCTCGTTGGAAAACATAATTCGTAAGAGCAAGTAAACTGGAATAAATAAATAGCATCCAAATTTCTCTCGAGATTTAATTAAAATTTAGAGGCGAGGGCAAGAATTAATTTTTGAATTAATTTTCCTTTTTTATCAGGAAATTTCAGTTTCAGTATTATCATTACATCGTAAATATCATCGAGGAAGTGACATTGAATGTGCATACGTTGTAAATTAAAGGAACACTTTATTTGTGCGCGGAGATATGATTCCGCTTCCTGGCGCCTTCGGAACGAACACGTTCGTATATCAAATAAACGTATTAAGATCGTATCATGCGATCAAAATTACCTTACTTCATGACGATTTGTTTTTCAATGGCAAAAGCATGGATGCAATGGAAGATATTTACATTACTTTATTACAACGGTTTCGTTTTGTTGATAAATAAAAAGGAAGAAAAAAAAAGAAGGATTGCATCGTTATTTATGCACTTACCGGCGATAGAGAATGTGACCATGAAAACGGAATTGAAAAGTGTCATCGCGGTTCCAGCTTGGCCAGTTTCTTCCAGAAAATCGCCGAATATTATCCCAAACGACGAAGTTGGCCCGAACGTCGTAATCTGGAGAAAAAAATAAATCTACTATCTTCCAAATATTTTTTCGTTTCGAAATTAATCGAAAGGATGTGTACAACACATCTCGTTAGATAAGATCAAACGATCGAATACTTTCTTGTATCAGCTTTCTTCCTTTCGTTCGTTACGTGCAATTTTAAAAAAAGAAAAAGAAAAAAAATGAATACTAACAAAGATCAGTATCATGGCTATGGCGACCATCCATCCCCAACCACCATCGGGAGCCAAATCTTCCAACGTGATCTCGTCTTCATCCTCCTCCTCTCTCTCCTTTCCGTTAGATAACAACGTGCTATTATTTCGAACCTCCTTCTCATCCTCGTTGAAAAGTCTCGTCTCTATCGCCGTTTTCCCATTCGTTTTAGTCACCGTCATATTTTTATCCTCGACCCTCTAAAACCAAGAAATATTTAATAATAATAATAATAATAATATATATATTAATAATATGTTCTCGATATTCCTTCGATTCATCTCTCTCTCTCTTTCTTTCTCTCAACAAGATTCTTATTTAAACGTTCGAAGCGAAAAAGTAGAACAATCGAATGAACGAATTTTTAAAGGAAACGAACGACTGTGTTACCGATCGAGAAAAAGTAAGAGGACATCGAACGAACGAGTTTTTGAAGTGAACGAACGAGGATCTTACCGGTTGAGAAAAAATCTTCCTGTACAGTAGTATCGAAAAGAAAAGAAGGTTGAGAATGATGAATAATAGAATAATGAATAAATAGACACGGATATGTGGGAGCGTGGTCGGATAGTTTTTAACTGAGCAGGAACAGGGTAGAAACCAATTCGAAGACTTTCTTATCTATGTACACAATGTCAACGTGCTAAGCACCTATCCTTAATGAGAATGAAATATGGCTATCGTAGGAATTAGAAAATCATCCGAGGAGAAGAAGAGGAGATAGAGAAATCAGATTGTAAATGAAATTTTGCAATGATGACAATGATGATTATCACGGCGAGATGATAACAACGAAATAACAACAACAACGATGTATCATCCTCCTAGATATGGTGTTTCATTTAGCAACAAAGTTACTTTTCTTTTTTTTTTTTTGAGAATAATTTATTTAAAAGTGAGATAATTAATTTTAAAGATAAGAAAATATTCTTATTTTTAAAATACGCAAATCATCGTTATCGATCGGTTTGTTTGTGAAATGTGAATGTTTTGAAACGTGATATTCTCGAAATTATATTCGAGAAAATTTAAATCTCAATTAAAAGATCTAGGTTTTGGGCGAATGGGTTGTTGAAAAAGAGAAATATAGAAAAGGAAGCACCGATCAAAGTATATTTTGCGATGGAAAAAAATAAATTTGCTTTGCAAACCGCAGCGGTTTGTGTACACACACCGCAAGTAATTGAAACCATTAGCAAAAAATATTCTTGGCGACTCTCTCGTGTGTTAATTAATCGTGCGTTTATTTCCATTTAGAATCAAATAGACACTATTTCCTATATATTTTCTATAAATTAATAATTCTATTAATTAACGTACCTGTTGTTCAACCTGTTGTTTCGAATCGTGGACTCGACTTGTCGGTTACAATGGAGAGAAATTAGAGTAGCACTGATAATACCAACAATGTCAATATTGAAGATGATAATGCAATTTACTTTTGAAATATTTAATTTTGTGAACTATGTTAAACCAATACCTGTATATAATTTTACTACGTACATTCCTGAAAATTAGACGCGAAACAATTACAAAACCAAACGTTTCGTACCTTATTCCTGATTCTCTATTTTCCCTCGAAGATCAAGACCGAGCATCTTGCTTATCTTTCGCTATGACGCTATTTTATTTATTTTATTTTGTATAATTCTCATCACCGTACTCTAACAGCCGAAGGCAATCAATGATGGTTGATCATTTTCATAAAACGATTTTGATTTATTAAAATTCTTTTTAAAAAAAAAATTCTTCCTTACCTTTCACAGAAGAAAGAGATTCGAAATATATATTATAGAAAACAGGATCGAAGAGAATGGAAGAACGATCAACAATAATCCATCCTTGTTCCCTCCGTTTAATGGATTCGAATATTTTGAATTTCTCTCAAAAATGGAAGAAAACGAACGGTGAAACGAGACCCGCCACGACAACTTCGATCAATTCACAACTTTCGTACATTCTTCGCGAAAATCGTTTTCTCACTCTGCCACTTGCACAAAGTTTGGCTACGAGATAAATCCTCGCGACACCTGACATAATATAAATAATATTCGGTATAGAAGCGTGACGTTTAAACGACGAAAAATCTGAATTGGACTGGAATCTCTCTCGTGCCAGGCGAGACGGAAGCGAACGGTGCGACACCACAGATTGCGTCGAACAAACGAAACCAACGAAGTAACGAGATAGCGTAGCCTCCTCCGTTTCGCGCTTTCTTTCCTCTTCGAACGATCCTTCTCCTCTTTGGATGAGATAAACAAAACGGAAAAAGGACGCGCGCAATGTCGACACAGTGATTCAAATGATAGATTAGATGGGCAAAATTCATTTTCAAATGTATAAAGAATAATTGTTTAATGCGTGAATAAATATATATTAAAATTTTATATCCTTTTTTAAACGTTTACGAATTAAACAAAATGATCAATTGATTACAATAGTCAAGAAATATTCCGTAAATTTATTAAGAAGCATTTAAATTTCAATTTTATTAATGGATATAACATCTCGACATCTCTCACATCTATTTTTAATTTAAATAGTTATAAATTATCGATAAGTTTTTTTTTCCTTTTATAAATTAAATTTAAAGTTGAATAAATTATTTCGTATTGAAAATTCGTGCAATTCGTCAATGATTTTTTATACGTTCCACATCGTTCCACGCGATAACGGTAGAACGTATGAAAAGTAGAAATTTTCTATTTTTTTTTTTATTAAACTATATTAAAATTAATTTTACAGTCACTCATAATATATACTTGCTATATCATCATACTCGCTCATTCTTTAATCCAGCCATTAATATTTATGGATTAAGCTATCTATCCTCCTCGCTATTTATTGTTAATAATAATATTCCTAACTTTAATTGGCAATTCCTTTCCTAATATTTGAACGATCGGTATGCAGTGTGTCTTTTTACAGTGCTTCTTTCATTTTATAATATTCAGTTTTTATCGTTATTTTGTTAAATTTTTACTGTTCAAGCTCATACCTGGCTCGTATCTATCAGATAATTTATAATATATAACTTCTTTTTTCAATAAGTATCTTTTTCTTAACATCCGTCTCTTCGGAATACAATTTCCAATTCTCAACGTCCAGTTTATCATATGTTTGTAGCTTTCTGAGTTAATTGCCTGCCACAACTTTTTTTGCTAGTCCGCCACACGGCTACTTAAGGTCACAATATCACACATATTCGTATATTTATATATTTTTTATACATCTATCACTGCATTTTCTTTTTTCTTCTATACTATAATTAATGTTAATTTTTTTTTTTTGTACATTCAATCATATTTTTATAATTACATACACTTTTGAATGAAACTAACAAATTATATTAAAAAGCAGTATTGTTTTCTAAAAAAAAAAAATAATAATTTTAGCTTTTACTGTTCGAATCATTTCGATAGTTTCGTGTTTTCTCTCTCAAGAGGGGAAGATCGCGCGAGGAATCCTTTTCGAACGAACGAGATTATCTTTATCGATTATGATTATTATCGCGTTATGTTCGATGAAATTGTGCGGAGGAAGATAGCGATGATAGCGAGTGTATCGACCAGTGTACATACTCGCGAGACCCGAGTATGGTCATCGAAAGGACGTTTGCCATCGTAAGATTTCTTTTTGTTTGTTTGTGTGTATATATATGTATGTGTGTGTAATATTATATAGAAGATTGCTCGATCAATTTTCAATGAAGCAAGTTTTTAACGTAAGATTGCCTAACGTATTGGCTCGAGTCAACAAGTTTTTTTTTAAAGATTCCTTGAAACGAATTATTGATCCATCGAGTTAACGTCAAGTATTTTTTTTTCCTTTTTTTTTTTTTCTCTCTTTTTTTTCAACTCCAAACGAATCGAGGCGTTCCTCTTCAAAGGTTCGAAGTTAACCAAAAAAAAAAAAAAAAATTCTACGAATCGATTGAGAAACGATTGAAATCTTCCCCCGCGTTCACGTTTTATCTTTCGCGATCGATTTCTTGCGGTTACGTGTCATTGAAGGAATATTGTATCTCTGACAAAATAGTTTAACGATGTCCTTATGTTCTCGAAAAACTGTATCGTTTTTATTCTCGATTTACCATCTACTCTAGATACTGCTAGATGGCATTCCGGGTTAAAATATTCGAGCCAACAGAAAGAAGAAACAAATATACGTGGTAATGTAGAAACGTTTCGATTCCGTAAAAAAAAATGTTATAACTCGTTCAAGAAAGAAAAAAGAAGAAAAACGAAGGCGCCGTTTCTCGTTTTCAAATATGCAAATAGTCTCAACTCGGCGTTATAATTGAGCTATAATTATAATTGCAACGATCGCTTCGACGACAATAAAGACAAAGTTACACAATTTTGTCTTAAATATTTTCCACATTCTCGGATAATTTTCCATTTAAATTGTTTACTCGCGTATCTACGTGCGTACGTGTCCTATCGAGCGTTAAAAAGTTACATAAAGTGATAAAAGTTGATTTGAAAAAAAAGTTGAAGAAGCGATGATACGAACGAGAAACTTTGAATATATCGATAAACGTTTTTTTCTTTTTTTTTTTTTTTCCTTTCAATCGATCATTATCGATGTACAATTAATCACTGCACCGGCACGAGACACGAGCGTGTCATTATTTGTATTTTGGTTGATTAAATGTGGAACCGATTAATCGCATTATGGTATATAGCTACAACATAACGAAAATGAATTTAGACGATCTTTTGATTGCAAAAATGACACATTTATTATTATTAAAAATAATAAAACACACGCGCGAATATAATAATATTCATTCATCGTTATCGAACTCCTTGCACTTGGGGAAAAAAAAAAAAAATGTTTCTCCCTTCTCCTCCTAGGAGAATATCTCGATAATATCTAATGACAGCTTGCTTTTTACTTCCCTCCTTCCTTCCTTGAAACAATATAACGAGTGGCGCGTACAATTCCAATGGTAAATATTTCATGTTGCAAAGTTTTTTTTTTGTACAAAACGTGCCAAAGAAAAGGACGACGCGACGAGTATTTTTCCGTGGGACGAAGAGGGGCGAGCCCGATCGACTGATCGGACGTGCGTGTGCGCGCGCGCCACAGGTGACTCGTCGCCAGTGCTCGATCGAGGCGAAGAAAAGTGACGCGCCGGTGTCGATATACACCGCGGATTACGTTGAGCGAACGGTGAATGGAAGGAAGAGGCGGCGACATAATCGATCGAGATATGGAATAATCAACGCGGTGCCGCTCAACTTTTGCGCGCCACTCTCGTCGAATTCGTTACGCCCGACGAGCTCGTTACGCACGAGGAGGAGGAAGAAAAACAAAATCGGAACACGATGAATCGCGAAAAAGCGAAAAGGAAGGGGATCGATGGCGGTTGGGGGTGGTTCGTGTGTTTCGGAAGCAGCCTTATCTCGGTGAGTTGACAAGTTTCGCTTTTAATTCTTCGTCCTGTATTCTTTTTTTTTTTTATAATCTTGATATTCGAAAGGATCGAGACGATTGTTCGATTCTTGTTTCTCACGATTTTGTGAAAATGATCATTTATCGCGAGTTGTTGTATATTTAAACGAAGGAAATTTACATTTCATACAATTTCCACGCTCTGACGTCTATCCTTTGTTATCTGCCAATTTTGATATCTCGATTATCGTTGCTATCTATGAACTTGTATTTTTTTTTTTAATTTTTATACAACTCGTATATCGATGCATCGAAATACGCGTAAATTTTATAAACTTTTCCAGCTCTCTTTAAGATCCTTGGATCCCTCGTTTGGTCTTCTTTTTCACGATCTCTTCTTGGAGCTCGATATAGATTCAATGAAAGCCTCTTTGATAATGAGCATTCTCGACGCCATCGTCAATTTTTCCGGTATTGTAAAGAAAATAATAAATTTAACGAACAATATATATATATATATATATATATATATTGATTCATTTGGAATTATATTAATATTAATTATTTTATCACCGATTTAGGCCTTTTGGTAGGACCTTTATTGAAGAAGTACTCTTATCGACAAGTATCTTTCTTTGGATCTCTTTTAAGTTGTAGCGGGCTGATATTGACATCGAGGTCAAATAGCATGATTCATATCGTTTGCACTTACAGTATTTTGGGAGGTAGGTAGGTGATAAGCAACTTTGGGACAAATTTTTTACGAGCAACTGTTCTAACATTTGTACATACAGGATAGGAAGAGAATAAAAAAAATAAGAAAATATAATTGCCTATTAGATACGAAAAAAAGTATAGGACGAATTATTCTTTTGTTGCTCATACTTAATTTCGATTTTCTCAAAAAGAAAAATCATGACTTGAATGACTTAAGCTTTTTACTTATTTTTACATGCAAAAGTATTCTTATCGATAGTTCATTCGTATCTAATTTAAATATCCGATGTGATTCATGTTTTGAAATATTTTTCGTATTCCCGACTTATGTAATCACATCCTTTCTCAATATTCTAAAATCAATATTTTTGTTAATTTTAAAACATACTGATTATTCATTGTTATTCATTGTTAAATAAATAAAATTAATGCACGTATTAGGATTAGGAACTGGATTGGCGATTGCGGCATCTTTCGTGGCATTGAACACATTTTTTGACAAAAAGAGAGGACAAGCCGTAGGATTTTCTATGGCAGGCACAACATTGGCCATGATGGTAGTGCCTCAGGTAAAATATATGAATAGATAATTTTTATAGATAAAGAAAATAAAATTGCCAATTATCGATCGAGCCAGTTTAATAATCTCTAATTCTACTTCCCGATGAATTAGTTCCTGTTGCGAATATAAACCTATATTATCTTTTGTTCCAGAATGATTTCAGAATAGGTGAACAGATAAGTTATGCAAAATTATGTTATATCGATGATTTCTTCCTCCTCTTGTAGTTGATACATCTTCTTTTGGATGCTTACGGGTTTCGTGGCACGATGTTAATCGTTGGAGGATGGGCATTGCATTCCGCAGTTGGTGCTTGTTTATTACGTCCGCTTCGAGTCGAAAGTTCAAAACCCGTTGAGAAGGTAAGATCTTTTAGATCGTATTTACGTTTCTCGTTTCTTTAACTTCGCTTTTTCTTTTTTTTTTCTTCTTTTTTAATTATCTCACGTGAAAACGTGATAAGGTTTTTTTCAAATAGTTGAAAAAAATTCCTTCTACAGCCCGTAAATAATTCCTCAGAGAATGATACGTTGCTACGGTTAAATGACGCCGAAACGACGAAAAAGGTTGAGTACGGTACGAACGATTGCGAAAACAATACCGCGACGTACGAGGAGATAAAGCAACACGGGAAAGAAAACGAGTTGTTACGAAAAATAAAGGAGACTTTCGATCTGGATTTATTCAAGGATAGCGTCTATTTAAACATCGTCGTCGGTCTGAGCTTATATTATGTAGCCGAGTCCAACTTCAAACTGATGACGCCGTTTTTTCTGGCCAGCATAGGTAAGTAATCCAGTAGAAAGAAACGAAATATAAATATTAGTAGCGTAGCGAAGGATGTGGCTAGCCTAGCAATATCCTAGCTACGGCACGCGGTGGAACGAAACTCGAGAAAACGCGATAAACGTGCGACAAAGATCGATCGTGCCATAAAACTTAAGAAGAAGAAGGAGAAAAACAACAACAAACTTGCCCTTGAAAGAAACTTCGATCGAACGAACTTTGTTGAGTGGATTTCGTTTGCCGCGTTTTTTCTCGAGTTTCGTTCCACCGTGTGCCTCAATTTTTAGAATTTTTTGGAACCTTTTGAAGGAACTTGATGGTCGATAGGAATGAGCAAAGCCGAGATCGCTTCCTGTTTATCGATAACTGCGTTCACCGACATTCTTGCCCGACTCACACTCCCAACTATATTCGATAAATTAAGATTGAAAAAGAGGATCGTGTTCTGGACGTTTTCCATACTGGTTGGAATTGGACGATCGAGTACGTTCGTGAGAAATCATCTTTTATTTATTCTCTCTTGATTTCTTCTGATATTTCCGTTTTGGTTTCCAGTCATGGTAGCGCAATCGAAAGGAACATTTTTGATAGTGACATTCGTGATAATAGGATTTTTACGGGGCGCAACTTTGGTGAATTTAAATCTCACCGTATCCGAATATTGTTCCTTGAGCAAATTGCCGAGTGCCTTTGGAATGTTCATGGTGTTTAAAGGTTTATTCGTAATAATATTGAGTCCGTTGATCGGTAGGTTTAATATAATAATAAGAATCATGTTAAATTATCGAATAATAATTTTTTCTTTTTCCTTTACAGGATACATCAGAGATGCCAGTAAAAGTTATGCAATTTGTATACACGTGATGACGTTAATTATATCCACCATGTTCGTTACATGGAGTATCGAGTTTATATGCAAGATATTTAGAAAGGGAAAATCCAATTTAAATAAAAAAACGCAAGATATATCGATGGAATGAACGTTTAAATTTTATCAAAACTGATATAATATCTAACATTAGTTATGTACATTTTCGCTTAAAAAGTGTAATTTATTTCAATTCTCTCGACGTTCGTAATTTTGTTACAGATATTACGATGTCCACCTTGGATTATATAATGTTATAATATATAATATTTTTAGACAAAGATGCGTACCTGACATTTTAACGTACCATACTATTTATACGAATCTATAGTTTGTATAATTTGTATGATCCTGTTTAAAATCAAATTCTATTTCGTGATACATATAGAATATTCAATGCAAGTACTAATCTTCTATTTTATATAAATGAATATAAATAAAAAAAAAGAAGCGTGAATTCATAAAACCTAATTTTTTTTTTCACACCTTCAATTCTTCATATGAAATATACGATCGATAAAATCTATTTTTAGAAAAAATTTTTAAAATATTTAATATATAATTTAGAAAGAAAGATCTTTTCAAGTTTTTATCAATCCATTGTTCTCAATCTTTCGTCATAAAAAAAACTTCTATTAGAATAAAAAGAAAAATAATTAATAAACATTGTGAACGAAAAAAATATATGTACAAATGTGAAATTTCCCACGGAGGATCGTATACAATTCTCCTTGTAATTATAAATGCTAATTTAATCGTCGTACATTTACATGAATGTTTAATTGCAAATTCTCCTCATGATTCTCGAGAAATTGCATGTAATAATTGAAACGGAACCGGAAAAAAAAAATCATTTTTAAATCAATAACATTCAACCGTTATTTTAGAGATGAAATTTTTTTCTTAAAAAAAAAAAGAAAAAAAAATACAAATTTACGGAACGTATAATTCTATTCCAATACAATTATTCGAAATATTATCTCGCGTACACAAGTCGATCGCAGACACTGCAATGGCGTGCGTAAATAAAGTCAAAGACCAGCCTCGGCCCAGAGTCGAGTCACGAAGCCGGTTTTTATCGGCTCGCTTCCCTTCATCGAGTCAGTCACAAACAGTGCGCAGCTCGGAGCGTGCGTTGCTCATATATTTAAGACGCTTTAAGATACCGACCGAAAAATTCGAGAATGGAAAAACATTCGTTGTTTTCCGGTGAAATATAACGTGATAGAAAAATCTAAATCAATTTGTAATTTAATCTTCCTCCTCTTTCCATACGTATTTTCACGCGACTACGATAAATAGTGAATCGCAATTTTGATCTCGATCTCGATTTCGTTCGATAAGTGCTTTTTTTTTTTTTTCTTTTCCTTGAGATATTAGTCTTTCATCGCGAATATTGTTTTTTTTAGATCTCGTATAAACGATGAATAGCAAAATATATCAAGAAGTATTGCTCCCATGAATATTTTAACGTATTATGAATATCAGAGATTACACATATTTAATAAAATATTTTTTATCTACGTTCGCATTATTTACATTTAATAATTTTTTATCGTTGATAATTAGTTATCCGAGGATATATAAATTGAAAGAAATCATAGAAACCTGAAAAACTAGACAATCATGGAATATTATATCTTCTCGTATGAGTATCTGGTAAGTAGATATCTTTCTTCTTCTTTCTTTTTTTAATATTACTCGAACGAAGTTACTCGAACTCAACGAAGTATTTTACTTGTTGACAATGAAATTTTATATCAATGTTATTATGCACCGCTATAAATAATCGTTCATCTGAAATTTAGAGAAAATATCCAAGTAATCATTCGCATTTAACATTGGATGTTAACTCAATTGGATGGATCGTGTAGAGGGGTCATCAAACTATTATTAAACAATAGGCTTAAAATGGCATGGCGCAATATCGTATTCTTTGTCCCTTTGTAATTGAAGCACGTGTACTATCTTTAATATATATATATATAATAAAATTATATTTAGAATTTTAAAATCATTCGAATTCGTACTATTAAAAAATGATTAATCTTATTGAGTGTAATGATAATGATAATAATGGTATCGTGCGATTAGAATGTTAATCGTTTCTCTATTTTCTTCTAGTTTAGATTTCTTTCGAACATCGGACTCGTAACTTCTCAAAAACTTTTCGCGTTATTTTCGCATTATCTTTTACAGCTTTTACATCTTGAAAATCGTAAAATGTAATCGCACGATTTATGATCAATATTTAATTTCACGATTTATACGAACAAAATTATAAATAACAGTACAATTTTCTATCTCGTTCCTTCGAATAAAATTTTCCCAAATTCTAATCAAAAGAACTAACTTTAATTAATACCTCACTATTTATATTTTTAATCTAAAATTTTTAATCAAAAGTCCATTAACCGATATGTCATTATCATTCGATATTAAAGTACGAAAAGATCAAAGAGGAATTAATCTATCTTAGATGGTCAACGAGACAATTTTTCGTTTTCTTACGTTATATAAATGTACCTTATATAGTTCGATTCGATTCTTCTAAATTTTTTTTTCCCCTGATAAAACGATATCCATTCCTTTTAATGGCAAAGTGTACACACACACACACACACACACACACACACACACACACACACACACACACACACACACACACACACACACACACACACACACACACACACACACACACACACACACAC